ATGTATATGTATATACACAGACACACACAGACACACACACACACACAGACACACACAGACACACAGACACACACAGACACACAGACACACACACAGACACACACAGACACACACACACACACATATATATATATACATATGCCGATTCAATCTGTGTTATATGTGTCACCACAGGCGTATCTATACATGCTCAGAATTCACATACACTTATATTGGTGCTGGAAGTTCACATACAAATATACTCCATTGCTTTTGTAATGAATTATGATTGTAATTGCAGATATTTTATATTATGTGCATGGTTGATCGGTTGTGCAAGTAGATGTGCGGTTTATGGACAGATTTATATAATCGACTGAGGCCTAAAGCACCAGACTCTCTGTGTGTTCAGAATATTAGGCCCCAAACGGCATTACAGTATGTCGCTATCCGAAGTGAGTTTCATGAATGAACTCGTATTTTGGTTTGCGTAGCTACGGGTCCGTTGAATCATGCGCTGGTTTACTCGCTCATGTAGAATTTCAATACGGGCGCTACATACGAAAAAAACTCGCCACCACAACGGCACGCATGCTCATCCATCAGCGATAATCAAGGGGCTTGTGCAGCACAACCGGTTGCACACAGACTAATCAGGTGTAGTATATAGCCCTGAATATTAGATGTAGTATACAGCCCTGCTCATTAAACTTTATTCCCCGTACATGAATGTCTTCACAAATAGGACTTGGCTAATGCCGTCATTTCGATTATGTACTTGTAGATGACACCAATGATATGCCCTGGATGACCGATGCACCTGGTTCCGAGGGCCAAAAACAGAAGTTACTGGATTGGGACGAAGATGGCTCACCCTACCGGACAAAGTATAAGCTCATTGAGCAGAAAGTGGCGTACGAAGAAGCGGCTAAAGAGCACCCCAGTGGTTCACAGGTACGGGTTTATCACTCCCTCTCGCACGCTACTACTATCGAGCTCAGTTCTGTCCACGATGGCGTGCATGTAGGTCACGCTGGCGTGCTGCGCGGGCTCTGACTGTGTAGGCGTGCGCCAGGAGAAGCTAAGGCGTGTGCCGATGTGGCGGTGAATTGATGGAGCGTTTCTGGACGGAACTTACGACGAAGCTGCGTGCATGATGTGTGGCCTACCCGTCATGTGTGGAGTGTCCGTATCCTTGCTTTGGTTTGGTTTGGTTAAGTTTGGTCTGGTCTGGTTTGGTCAAGTTTGGTCTGGTCTGGTTTGGTCTTTGCGTCTGTGGTATCTTGGAGTGGTACATTCGTGGTAAAAGCGTACTCTCGCGCAGAGGTTCGTTCGTGCCTAGTATAACCCATACAGCGGGCATGGGCTGGGGTACCCAATTCAGTTCATTTTATTCGATTACCATGACACTCAGGTAATCGGAGTCAGGTATTGTTATTCCTTATGTGAGTACGCGCTTACCGGATACTACGCGTATTGGGCATGCCGAAGTATTCGAAGTGGATGTGCATGATTGTACTCCCTTCTCCACGATCCTTTGCTCAGGTTATTTTAGTATCTGATAGGATGCATAAAATAGGTTTTTTTCGCAGGATAAAATAAGTTTGTAGCTGCAGAACTCCAAATGGATTAGGTACTGTGTGATTAGGGATTCTTGTTGCAGGAGTACGTGTGTGTCCAATTATCGTCTAACCGCGCATACCTACCGCATGCAGAAAATGGAAGCCATGCTCGTCAAGAGAGCGATGGCACTGATCAGGTACTACCGGTACATCATTCCCGAAACCGAAGTGGCGGAGAAGATGAAGAAGACGGGCCTACTCTCCAACGAGTTGTACGATAGTGTCATGCAGGATAAGAAGTTCTTTGAAAAGTACGTATCAGCATGACGACCTTGAGTTTTTTTTCCTTTGTACTTGGAGCGAGTATATTTATGCACACTGTGTTGGGTCTTGTCGCGCCTGCTTAGCTCCATGACAGTGCTTAGTTTAGAGGCATGTATACAGGGGAGGGCGGAACAGATAGATTGCACCGTATCGTGTGTTGCGTTTTGTTCCCGAAGCTTCTGCTCGCACCTGCATCTATAGTACAAAGAGTAGTTGCACGTCAGCATATGTACATTTCAAGCAAGCACGATGAGTGGGTGTATGGTGTCATCATACCTGCTTTTGAAGCACTCTGCATGGTAGCATAGCGTCATCATATCTGCGGTTCATTTTGTGCATATCTGCGGTTCATTTTGTGTATATCTGCGGTTAATTTTGTGTGTCAAGGTCATGTACGAACGATGCAGTGCAACCACACCTCTACACTACTGTGTGCAGGTCCTGACATACCACCTCGTGGTTTGTGCGCATCTGAGCATGTATTTGCAGTGCAGCTGCATTGTTTTCATGCGTTGTGATAGTGCATTGGTTGTATTGGCCTTGCTCAGCACCATACATCGACAAGCTATCGTATCCGGTGTTTTCAGTGTATGTAGTTGGCTTTGTACAAAGTTGTATGATGTACATACCATCTTCCTAGCTGTATCACAACACACCAGGGCTTATACCTTCACGCTGCCATTCCTATTCAAATAGTGAGCAAGAGACTATTGTGCAGTTGGCGGCCGAGATGTTCAAGGATAAGCAGGGACACAAGCGCATCTTCGGAGCGGTATGTGTGTCATCTGTATCAGAGGGCTGTTACAACACCCATGGTATCCTTTGTTGGGGTGTATACGAAATTCGCTTTAGGAAGGGTTCGTACCGTGTTGAAGCTGGTTGGCGCTGCGAGTGAATGCATACACAAGCATGCACACTCAGCAACCAGTGCCATCTAGTGGCGCCGTTTGTGGCTGGTGCATTTGTGTGGTAGTGCAGAGCTGCAGGCTTGTATGGCCTATTTATAGCTCATTCAGCTATTTGTGTGGTAGTGTAGAGCTCTAGGCCTGTATAGTCTATTTATAGCTCATTTAGCTATTTGTGTGGTAGTGTAGAGCTGCAGGCCTGTATAGTCTATTTATAGCTCATTTAGCTGTTTGCGTGGTAGTGTAGAGCTGTAGGCCTGTATAGTCTGTTTATAGCTCATTTAGCTATTTGTGTGGCAGTGTATAGCTGCAGGCCTGCATAGTCTATTTACAGCTCATTTAGCTATTTGTGTGGTAGTGCAGAGCTACAGGCCTGTATAGTCTGTTGGTAGTTCATTTAGCTGGCTTGTCGTCCATGCGCTCTTGTGTGTATCTACCACGTGTATGGTATACCTGTCATTCAGTTAGCAGTGTGTGACCGTGGTACAGCTATATGGCCAAGTCACATGATTATCAATTGCCTGGCTGTCAGGAGTGTTGCGCATGAGTACGGCTGTGACACGATGGGAAGCTTGCACTCGAGAGCACTAGGCTTAGAGGACACCCTAATCGGTAGTAGACTTCGTTCAACCTTGTTCATGGGAATGTACTTCCGGGGTATGGGGTACGTCGATTATGCATAAAGTGTTATGAAACCGGTTCTCGTGATTTTACAGGCTCACCAACAGCTGGAAATTGAAAATCCGGAACTGTACAAGCAACAAGCACTCGACCAGAAACAACGGAAGAACATCTCTGGCCAAGGGAAAGGAGGGCATCATGGTAACAGTCATGGGGGCGAGGAAAGACCGAGACAGAGCGCTGCGGCCAAGAAAAAGGACGAATTAAAGACCCAAGAAAAGGAGAGACAGAGGAATATCAAGAAGAACACTGCCAAGAGTCTCGAGGTGATGAAGGAGCTGATGCGAGAGGAGGGTATTGAATTCGATGGCGATGGCAATCCTATTGTGGAAACGAAGCATGCACACAAGGGGAAGAAAACGGACAAGACGCCGTCAGGCGCTACGAAGAACAAGAAGAAAAAGGGCAAGAAGTGAGGAGCAGGAGAGAAAAAGAGGAGTAATGGAGCAGTGCCAGAGCGAGAGGTGACAACGGGGGACTGTCGGCTGTGTAGGGCACGAATGGCGGGTGCGTGTGCGTGTACGGGTTGATTGTTGAGGTGCGAAGAATGCCTTTAGTGGGTGTGTAGGTCGTGTACAATCAGGTGCATGTGCCACACCCAGGCCAAGCGGAGATAAGCGCAACGACCTTCACAGCCGTGCAATTGACAAGGGAGCATACGATGCGCCGGGTGGCATGTCCACTGCGACAGATCTGAACGGACGGGGCCACTGTTCACCAATCCCTCTGGCGCAAGCACTCGATCGCGTCTTGCAGATGTCTTTCTGTTGCAGTAGGCATGGATGCTACATATCATTCGCCAGCCTCCCGGACGGACTCTGGGAAGGATTTATGAGTAGATGCACACGATTGTTAATTGGGTGCAGCGGTCGGAGGTATTTGGGAAAGGCTGGTATAATGATTGCGTCTACCCATGATTTGAGGCTGCTTGCTTTGACCTCTGAACCCTCACTGAGAGGTGAACGGTGTGGTATCGAGCGCTCTGTGTGTATCGGATTGGCGAGAGATTGGCGGAGTGTATACCAAAGTGGAATAATATTGAGGGAGTGGAATATTATCGAGAGAGCGATGAAGAATGCGGGGGTGAAGTCCGAATTCGAGTGTATTAGTACTAGCGATGGGGATCCTGATGATAATCTGACTTATCAACGAGTGCGAGACAAAGGCCTTGTGATAAATTTTTGTACATATGACTATAATATCCAAACGTGGCTGTATGGAGATTTTCATTGCTTGTGATACATGTTTGTATATACGAGTAGGATGTAGGATTATTTAAACACGGCTGTATTGATTTTTCATTGCTTTCGATAAATTTTGGTATATATGATTATAATATCATTCAAGCTTGGCTGTATGGATTTTTCATTCTTACACTTTTTTTTGATACTAGTCAGACATGATATGCGGTATTAGTAGGGCATGATATGCGGCCGTACTTAATCCGTAGTGAAGTAATTATGCGAGTGTAGTCCAGGCCGATTCCCCTGGTTGTGCATGTTCTTTGTATCGAAAGAAATACGCGTGTGCGTATCTCTATAAGCATACGCGAGTACACACTACACACACACACACACATATATATTTATATCTACTAACATTCGCCTATGAAAATTTGGTCGCCTATCAATGGTTTTGTTCGCAATTGCTTCTGCTCACATTTCAGTGACTATATGGGCGTGTGAAATTCAAATATCTTTTATTTTAATTGCACTACTATTTTATACATAACACTTGAGTCTGCTTAGGTGTGACTGTGAATCAGTTCTCGAATCTTGTGCTCCATTCTATTTTTAGAACTGAGCGATGAAGCCCTGCTGCGGGCTGACCTTCCACTCCACCATATCGGTCCACAGTTTGCGGATATTCTCTTCACCCTTAACAACTGTGCGGTGGGGTCAGTGAGAGGTTGCATTAGTGTATGCACACCAAAGACTGAGATAAGAGGACTAGAGTACTAGACATTGTGTGATGGATCGCACTAAGGTATATGTGCATATATACACACATTGCGAGAGGATAACGGGAAACAGGTGATCGAGCAATGGAGGGATACCGTATTCTACGTATTCAGAATACAATCACGAACGGATCTACAAGTGTGTTGCGAGTAGAAGGCACTTCCCCAACTTTTGGTCAATCACACTCACAAATAGCCTCCAACTGCGGCAAACCCTCTAATTGAGCATATCCACACAATAAGATATATCCCATCTACACACCTAATACCTACACACTCTCTTCACTACCATAACCTTTGGACATATATATCTTACCTGTGACGTCCACGTGTGGTTTAGAAAACTCTACAAACTGCGCCAAGTTGTCCTCGATCTTGTTGGTGAGGCCTTCTACGCCCCACTCCTGCTGGCGCTTTAGCGCAGCTGACGGCGCAAAGAACGCCTCAGCACGTGCCCCGGGAAGTCCCTTGGCCGATCCCTATGGTAGCATTTGCAAGAAGACAACGAGGTAAGTGTATTAAGACCAGTAGTTTTAATAGGAGACGCTTATGCATTGGTCAGTGGTCTCGGAAGGTTCATTGGAAAGCCATTTGTCGTTTCGTGCCCCACAAGAATGAATACGTTATTCCAACTCGACCCAGTTCTATGTATAGTATAGCTGTGTGACGTGCTGATGCGTATATGATGTGGCGCTTTCACTCAAATAAGCTCAATCTTCACACGTAAAATGCATTTTCCGTGTGTGTGCATATGTGAAAGCACCACCAACTATATGTGGGATATTCTGGGAGAGAAAGAGAGAGTGTGGGGTGAGGGTGTTTATTGACTCGTTAGTAGATACAAAATCCAACTAAACATATATTACGCAGTATAACACACATTTGCAGAGTAAACACGTACAAAAAAGTAGCTGCTTCAGATAATGAATAGTACATCGTGCCTGTAATGCGACAAACACCGACCACCTTGACCCATCACCTATAGTACTACACCCTTACATAGAAGAACAGCACCTACTCAACAGTGCCATGGAAATCAGTACTACACAGTAAGCGGGTGTGCAGAGTAGTCTGTGGCCCCAACTACCGCAATCTTTATGAGATTGTCTTGGCAGAACTACGCGATGAGAAACCATAACTTTCAGATCTACAGCCCTACATACTAAAACAGCACACAGAAGATAAATATATATATATAACCATATATATATATATATACCAGAAGATAAACAAAGATACAACCCATATATATACCACATTGTACCTGATTATAAAAATATAGAACCCATATATATACCACATTATACCTGAATATAATAAATAGAACCCATATATATACCACATTGTACCTGATTATAAAAGTATACAACCCATATATATACCACATTGTACCTGATTATAAAAATATACAACCCATATATATACCACATTGTACCTAATTATATAAATATATAACCCATATATATATACCACATTGTATCTGATTATATAAATTTATAACCCATATATATACCACATTGTACCTGATTAGTAAAGTCTGTGACACCAATCACCACATCCTTCTTGAGATTGTCCTGGTAGTAGTTGTGGATTTTGGCACGTAGCTTAGCGTTACCGGAGAAGTCTGCGTAGATTGCCGTGGTTTCCTTACTTGGCAGTTGGTCGACTTGGTCGTAAGTCAATACCTGCACATCACGGAGGAGAGACAACGTACCACTGCTTAGCCATACGCGCACACTACCACTGCCTTTTAACCATACGTGTACACGACCACTGCTTAACCATACGCGTACACTACCACTACTTAGCCATACGCGCACACTACCACTGCTTAACCATAAGCGTACACTACCACTGCCTTTTAACCATACGCGTACACTAGCGGCCCTCATCACAGAGTGGGCTAGTGTGCTCACATGCGGAGACACACCTATGCATCAGCTAGTAGTATTATTATTAAATAATATAGCAGTTAGTAATAGTATTATCAAATATTACATCAGCTAGTAATAGTATTATTACTACGTCCACACATGTTTATGCCATTGACGTTGGATTGCCCAACGATACCAAAAAATCAAGCCATTTGTGCTCATGCGAGAGCACTCGCATACCAGCATAAGTTACAGTTGTTACTATGAATGCATGCGTGACCCAATCACGCCCCTGAAAAGGCACTCATACAACACACTAACAGTATGTCGACAGTGACACACACATAGCCATTTGAAAACTCTTTCGAGTCATCTATACACGTCTAAACAATAGGTAGACCCACCCTTGCCTACCTATAACTTAAAGGCAACCACTCGAGGATCACATACCTGATCGTAGATTCCTAAGCTCTCCACAAACTGCACATTGGGCTGAGACGTTAAGCCTATGATCTTGTAGGCACCTTTGCGGCTCTCTCTGTTCGAGTGCATCAGAAACGCCGTGCCGTATCCGGTCTTGCTGGACGCACTGGAGATGATGTAAGTGTCGATCACACCTGGTATGAAAGTGAGAGAAAGTTCAAAACTGCGTATATATTATATTCACATACATACATACGTACATACGCATACAATATATATATATCCGAATATATCACATGCACATCATTTCCGGTTCATCGAATTTGTAACACGATTCTTGGAAAGGATATAAATTGAGGATGAACGTACTGGGATTCAATCAAAAACCATTCCTAAGATTAAAACCCAAACAAAGAATGGGTTGGTGTTTAGAGTTTAGGGTTTGAAAGGACATACCTACACTCGTGGCGTTGTTCTCTTTGTTTTGACTATCGACCCGCGCAGACTTGATGGCGTCTGAGACATTCACCTGTGGCGAATAAAGATTTTAGATACTGGTTTTGAATGAGGCGCAGCGGGTACTTTACAAGTCCCTGGTGCAAGCATGGATATACAGACACAGACAAAGACACACACACACACACACATATATATATATATTGGTATATGAGCGTGTGAATATTGTACAAATATTTCCAAATATAAACACACAAAGTATAAGTATGTATGTCTAACACACACTCGCACACGCAATTAAACATATATACATATATATACGGGTGGTGCGTGTGGTTCACTTAAATGTAAGCGAGCGTTAACACACCATTGTGCCATCGTCTACACTCGTGCACGTATAGAGCCATGTATGTAAGATGCAAATACCCACAAGCACCCGCATGTGTACATTGATACACCCACAAGCACATGTGTGTGTACCTTGGAAGTATCCTCGGGGGCATCTTCCGAGCACTGCCACAGAAAATCGTCCAGCAGGAACGACGTGGTAAACATCGGGCGCATGATAGAGTTGAGATGTTCGGTACTACTGTGTTTCTTGGGCGACACAGGGGAGTCTGCGGTGGGAACGTGACTGCGGACATACCTACAGATACACAGATATGCGATTGGGCTGAGTATTGGACAATCACAGCCTTGTAGTCTAGCCTGAAACTTCAGGCAGTGTTGTATGTGGATACTAAGATATTATCACGTTATTACACATGCTCTAGTCAAATCTGTGGACCAAGTGATAAATATCGATGCAGGTCACATAACTACAATTTAAAATCACTTGCGCACGCACACACACAACACCCTTCACGTCTGTGAAGTAAACACACACACTCTCCAACACCCTCAAAGGATCACTAAGGAGACACAACACAACTCACTGGTTGTAGATGGCGTTGAGCTTCTGGCGGTGTGGCGCAGCATCTCTGAAGCCTTTGGCTGTGATCCTATCCGCCTGCAGTACACAGTGGCCGGCCAACGGATAGAAGCCGTACAGACGTTCACCTACAGCCACATCCGGGTTAGACGAGGCTGTGACGTCGGCATATCCCCAAACGGGCACCATGCCTGAATGTGAATAGTTGAGACGTGGGTGGGGTTGGCTGGGTGGGATAGGCGCGTGTATACTGGTACCGAACGGATAGGCGAGACGCTTTGGATGTGGGTAGTGAGTCTGAAGTTGTTCTGAATGTGATTGATGCTCTAATGCGGGCGTGGAGCAGGTGTACGCTGGCTCAAGCTTCTACACAATGCACTCCCCTTCCTCCACATGCATTTTCAGGGGGCAGTTCGAGAACACTCATTCTGTGCTGTGTTGTGACATAGCCTTCTGAATCAAACAAGGCTGTGGCTGCGATTCTAATTAAACCACCCGCAATTCTTTCGTGTCTACTCGTGTGTTCACTCGTGATCGTTTCTTAGCAAATGCATTGAGTTCAGAACTGGGTCAAGCAGGTGTACCAGATCACCAGTGTATGGGGTGTACAGGTGACTGACTGTTCTATGTGTGCGCTTGAAAGGGCATTGTCGGTATACGCATGCCAAGAAGAGCACATGATCAACGTTGACGGATGCACATACGATGTGCACACACGTACATGCCACAGGAAGCTACTGTATATAAGTCAGCACGAGGCTTGTCGCCCTTAAGAATGAATCGGTCGCAAGGATTGAACCGACCGATTGTATAGTGTGTTTGTGTGTGATTTCATAAGTGTGCACAACACGAAAGTGAGTACTCAGGCGGGGGTTGAGTATAACTAGCCGTGCACCGCATGTGCTTACTTACCGTACTTGTCATCTTGGCCAGAGGGGAAGAAGCCCCAGTAGTTGAATAGGTTGGGTGCTCCGGTGACGGCGTAGGTGACGTTGTTCGAGGTCAGTGCCACCTGCCAGCACAGAGCAGAGTACATACGTCACGTGGTGTGTAATTAGTCTTCTTAATTAGTCTTACCTGCAAATCTTCTCAGAGGGAGACAGGGTTTTAAGACTAGGACAATACATGACCATACATCAAGTTCGTATGCAGTTGGTAAGCATGAGCTACAAAGGAATACGTTTGCGTGTATTTATCCGGACGACATAGAGACCCAAGGACAGACGAATGGCAGTATATATTTATCAGCAAATACATACGGACACCTTAAAGATGAGGCATACCTGATCGACTTTACACAGCACTTCCCCAGGCTTGAGATCACTTGCAGTGGGAACAGCCGCAGGCTCAGACTTGATCTCAGCGACGTTCTTCTTTGTAATCAACAGCTGAGGATAGGTGCCTGACTCACTCTGCACTGTATCGGCCAGTGACTGTTATGTGAACGCACCCGACAGAGTGAATGTGTGAGACATGTCGACTGCATGCGTGCTTTCAGAGGTGCAGGTCACAAGGACGGGAATAGCTCGGAAATATTATTATTATTATTATACCTATAATTAATCGGGCGTATGATGTCACATGTGAGATTTAAAGGCATATGAAGGTGAAACTGTTCGGTTTAAATTAAATACATATTCCACGATCGATCCGCATGTTAGGAGCGCTCGGCAAGCTGACATTACACATCCGCGAAATGTTTACGTTTGTATCCGTACCAGAGCAGAGCCCGAGCGAGTATGAGCATTGGAAAAGCCTAATAACATACCGAGTACTTCTTCATTGTGTTGAGACTTGTAAGCAAACGAGGGTACTGTTGCACTGCGGTAGTTAGGCGTACCCCTCTGATTGAGCTTAACATAGTCAATGAGTTTATGGTGTTCCGACAACTATATACTAGTCTTCAGCTGTAATGTATAGATATGCTAGTGCTCAGTTGAAGACAAGCAAGTGCGTTAATGAGAGGCGGGGTGCGGTCTTTATATACCCTCTGCACTGTGAGGTACAGTGTTATCGTGTACAACGAATTAGTTTTGAATGTTTGTTTGTATGTATGTATTTATGTGTCACTGTGCGTGTCACGGCGGCTGTCATATGATATTTATGAACTTGTCAAAAAAGTAAAAACATTGAGAAAGAAAAAGCCACTGCACCAATAATTGAGACCTAAAAAAGGGTATCATCGAAAAAAGCCTTATGAAAAAAGCCATTATTGATTTATTTGTTATTGTTTTTACTGGATATGATTTGATAATCGATAATAATAACAGAGGCTACACCGAGTCTGTGTTGTCCGTCTCTACTGTCAGTTTGTCACAGACGCACAGTGACAGACTCGCAGACTCACAGTCACAGTACACAGAGTCACAAGCGACGGAGTGAATTATCTTCGTTCACGCATCGCATCGAACGGTCAGAGAGCTGAGACCTTTCCAACTTCCCAATACAGCCAAGTGTCAATATTCACGTCCCACTCTCGTTATGATCCGAATTACACCGTAGAGTAGCAATTATAGTACATTCTACACTACCATATATCGGATCGGGGCGGTTGTGGTTTACTAGTATTCCCTGGAGGTATACGCTTACGGTCAAAGAATTAAGATGCAGGACGCTGGGGTTGACGGTGCACGTAGGGATAGGGGGAGCACAAACAACACCAGTAGCCATGGCAACGAGTCGGACCAAGCATCGACGCTACCTGGTTCTGTAAAACCAGACGCAGACATACAGGAGTATTCAGATGCACAAACGGATCCCAGTGGAGCTACGGATGAAGATAATAATAGGAGTGTAAAGCAAGGTACTAATAAGAGTGTAAAGGATAACACAGATGCCGAGCTCGAATCAACTTCCGAGCCCGTTCTCGAGCAAGCGAATACACTTGTAAGTCCCTACAAGCTAGTGATGTTCAATCCCCTGACCGAGTACAAGACTATGCTCACATCCAGCACAGCCATCACTATCTTCGGCCTCACCTTTGCACTGTGGGCCATTGCGGGCGGCTGGTGGGTATTTCTGGCCGTGTGTACGTTCGCGTTCTTCTTGGCAGGGTTGGAACTGGGAGCGGAACAACAAAAAGGTGGTACAACTCGGGTAGGTATAGGCCGACAGGGTTATGTCTACGTGCTTATGTGCGGATGTGGTGTTTTTTATACAGGGTGTATTCAAAAATTTGTATTC